TGTGTGGGGCAACCAGGCCAGTGGGGGAGATGGAGGAGAGAGAACAGTCACGGGGGGGGGGGGGGGGGAGGACAGGGACAACCAGGCCAGTAGAGGGGGACAGTAAGGGGTGACCAGGCTGGCAGAGGGGGGTAATTGGGGGTAACCAGGACAGCAGGCAGATGCAGGTAGGGGTAACCAGGCTGGCAGGGAGGGCAGTTAGGAGCCAGCAGTCCTGGATTGTGAGAGGAATAAAAACCCAGAAGTGAAATGGCTGGGTCATATGGTAGCTGTATTTTTATTTTTTATTTTTGAGGAAACTATAACCTGTTTTCCATAGTGGCTGTACCAATTAATATTCACATCAACAGGACACAAGGGTTCCCTTTTCTCCACATCCTCACAAACTCTATTTATTCTCTCCTTGTTAGAAGCTGTTATAGTAGGTGCAAGTCCATAGTCATTGTCATTTTTTTATTAAAAAATTTTAATACTGACATTATTGCAGGTATCCTGGTTTTCCCTCCTTTGCCAACTCTCACCCAACCCTCCCTCCCCCTCTCTTGGCATTCACCACACTATTGTCCATATTCATGGGGTATGCATATATGCTAAAGAGCTAATTCCTTCACCTTCTTTATCCAGTCATCCTCACCCCTCCCCTTAATTTATATTTCTTGAAGGTTAATGATGTTGAACACCTTTTAAAGTATCTGTTGGCCAACTACGTCTTGTTTGGGAAAATGTCTATTCAGGTTCTCTGCCTGTTTTTAACTGGATTTTTCCTTATCTTGCTATTGAGTTGTATGTATCCTTTATATATATTATGTATTAACCCTTTATCAGATACACGATTTGCAAATATTTTCTCCTTTTTGGTAGGAAGCTTTCATTATTTTGTTGATGGTTTCCTTTGCTGTGCAGAACCTTTTGGTTGAATATGGACTCATTTGCTTATTTTGGTGTGTGGGGTTTTTGTTGTTGTTGTTTGTTTATTTTTGTGGGATTTTTTTATTTTTATTTTTACCTTTATTTGAATCAACCTTTTGTATAAGTTTTGGGAGAAACTCTTCCAAAGGTTCAGTGTGTCTGTTTTAGGGGAGAGGGTGAATGAGATGCATTAAAAAGAGGAGGATCAATGGGAAGAACTATAGCTTCTGCTACTACCATATATGTGGTCTCAAAGCCACAACTGATACTCAGTGTCTCTCTCCTATATCCATCTCAATTCCCCTCACCATTGAGTAATATCTCTGGGTGGCTTACCTGGTAGAGTGATCCAAACTCTCCTCCCAGAGGGTTCTGAGGGCCAGGGAAGTCAGATGATTTGCCTAAGACCATGTACCCAGTAAGATAAAAAATAAATAAATAAATAAAAATAAAAAAATGGGAGTTTAATCCCCAGCACTCTGGCTCATGCCTTTTTTAAAGTGAATAATTCCATAGTTCAACTAGTATAAAACACTGTGCAATTTAACTAAAAATAACAGTGAATAGAAACAAAATTAAAGTTCTCCTTTTAATCTTTGAAGTACAAGTATTTTAAAATATAACAATAATCAAATTTGTCAAACCCATCTGTGGTGGGAGAACACTTATTAACCCAGTTGCAGCCTAGAAGGAATAATCAGAAAGAATGTGTTGTCTGTAAACATATAGTGCACATAGATGGGAAATTCTTCAAAATGTACATTGTGGTTATCCTTTTAGTTTCCTAACATCTCTCTCATTATTTGCATTTTCCAAGTTTTCTAACATCGTTGTATATTACATTTTTTATCGTCAAGCACTTAAAAGTGTTGTTTTAAATATTTAGAAAAAATTAAGGAAATAAATCTAATAAAAGAATGAGTCAGCAAATATTAAAAATATAAATCAATTTTAAAAACAATAAATATTTATATTAAGTATGATTTATTGACTACACATAGTTACAAAGTCAATATAGATATTATGGCAATTATTACATTAAATGAAATTTAACTCACATGCCCACATAAGACTTTCTAGTCTTTTATCATTTCCACTTATCTCACTCATATATTTCTGCTTGATTCTTTTTTTATCATTGAACCATCTTTAGTCCCTGAAAATATTTCATTGTGCCCACTGGCTTGTCCATATTCAAACATAGCCTGCTTCATCTTCTCCATAAAAACTTCCTCATTTACTAAGACACAGAGAGGGAAGAGCTCAAGGACATGTTGGTGCCTTAGGCTGAAATATAGGATAAATAAATGATAGATAGATGATGATAATGATGATGATGATGATGATGATGATGATGAAGAAGAAGATGATAGATAGATGATGATATATGGTAGATAGATAGATAGATAGATAGATAGATAGATAGATAGATAGATAAGAGGGCTGTTCAATAACATGACTGTATCTGGACCTTAATCTAGAGCTAGCTAGATTCTGGACAGAATAGAGATTGCTCCCCATAAATCTTCTCAGAGACTGTCTGACCCTTATCCTATACTGAGTGGCCAGATTATTATGATCTCTGAATGCATAATAATCTGGCCACTCAATATATTATAGATAGATAGATAGATAGATAGATAGATAGATAGATAGATAGATAGATAGATAGAGATAGATATAGATATATGAGGCCTGGTGCATGAAGTTGTGGCCAGGGGAAGGGGACATGGGACCTGACCTGCCTGCTGGTCAAACTCGTGGTTGAGGGGACAATTTGCATATTAACCCTTCATTATATAGGATATACACTGAGTGGTCAGATTTTTATGCATTCAGAGATCATAATAATCTGGCTACTCAGTATATGCCCCAGGAGTGCCATTTCCTGGAATAGGCTGTTGCCCTTCCCTAAGCATGTAAGATTTTTTTCTCCTTATCTAGGGCAGGACATGTACTCCATCCATCTTGCCCCATCCTATGTAACTCAGCATCTGTCACATAGCATGGATGATATCCATGTTGCCTAGCTGCTGCACAAGGCAAGTTTTATATGCAAACTCTCTTCATGAACTCTCAATGTTTTGACAGAGTTGCCAGCCTCTTTCTCCAGTCTCTCAGCCCTGAGAAATTTTACACAGATAGATGAGATAGATAGATAGATAGATAGATAGATAGATAGATAGATAGATAGATATTATAGATAGATATTATAGATAGATAGACATATAGATATACTACATATATTAGCACTAAGCTGTACAAGTCCTTTAAACAAATTAACCTGGTGGTAATCTGATGTGTCTTTGTCACTGAATACATCACCATCACTGGATGATAGGTAAAGTCTTGAGACTTTTGAACTATTAATGTTGGACATGGCAGAGGGACAAAGATGTTGAGATGTTGAGGTAGGAGTAGGCCCCTAGGAAAACCTAGCCATATTGGCTGTGCTGAAAATTCTCCTCTCATATCATATCACAAATATATCACACTGAAAGATTATGAATTGTGGCACTAATGGAATTCCTGGTATTTCACATTTAAAACATCATTTATATATGGACTTGAGTAACTATCCAGGCAAGTCCTATATGTACTTGCCAGCTTTCCAGACTATTTTGATCTTTTGGTACTCTTATTCCACAATAGCCATATTAAAGGCAGAGTGAATATAAGGAATAATTTACCAGCCTCTAAATATACCAGCCTAGAAGGGACACATCAATTCTATTCATATTTTATTGTAAAGATAAAAACATATTGTCACCATTACCTCCAAGGAAAAAGGAAGTGCAATTCTGTTGGGTATCCAATAGGAGAGAATAACTATAAATATTGCCAATCAGCAGTAAAATCTACCATATAGATGTGCACAACGTCAAAATCCATGTGAAAAGCTGTGAAGACAGTTAGATTAGACTATGGGCTCAGGGTTAGAGTTTCGGATTTGAATCCTGCTTTTGCCACTTGATCCCTCGTCCCTCTGTAATCGTCCCTCTGTAACTTTGGGAATGTTTTCTTTTGTTTTTAGCTTTCTTAGGGTCTCATTTTTGTCCCCTCTAAAATGGGGACAGTAATTTTTCCTATTAAGAAGATTACATAAGATAACAGAGAAAACCAAAACCGGTATGGCTCAGTGGATAGAGCGTCGGCCTGCAGACTGAAGGGTCCCAGGTTCAATTCCAGTCAGGGGCATGTACATTGGTTGCAAGCACATCCCCGGTGCGGGGGGGGGGGGGGGGGGGGGTGTGTGTGTGTGCAGGAGGCAGCTGGTCAATGTTTCTCTCTCATTGATGTTTCTGGCTCTCTGTCTCCCTCCTTTCCTCTCTGTAAAAATATCAATAAAATATAAAAAAATAACAGAAAAATTAGTACATGTTTATCATATAATAAGTACTAACACATCAACTATATCTTGATATGTATTTTAATTACACGTTATCCAGTAAAAAACAATAAGCCCTAACCGATTTGGCTCAGTGGATAGAGCCTCAACCTGTGGACTGAAAGGTCCCAGGTTCTATTCCGGTCAAGGACATGTACCTTGGTTGCGGGCACGTCCCCAGTGGGGGGTGTGCAGGAGGCAGCTGATCGATGTTTCTCTCTCATGTGTTTTTCTAGCTCTCTATCCTTCTCCTTTCCTCTCTGTAAAAAATAAGTAAAATATATTTTAAAAAACAACAACAAAAACACTGTTGGTTATGCACACAACACAATTCACAATCAAATACAGAAATAATTAAAGGGAACAATCACTCTAAGCTCTCTAGGCCAACTTTTGAAATAACAAAGATAACTTGCCTTAAATCCAAGTTTAGAACTCACTAATGTGAAAGTAAGGAATAAGACCAAGGACATAATTTTTAGACAACCAATAGGACAAAAAAGACGTCAAAGAAATCACCTGAGATTAGTTGTTGAAATGTGTATAAAAAAAACTATGAGAGAGGCATCCTCCACATACAGATACTTAAGAATTGGGATAAAAGAATAAGATTGTTTGAGATACTCAAGAGTAAGAACTTCAGAATAAAAGGTTTTGACACTGGTACTCACAAAACTTCTCAGTCCCAGGACCAATGGATTTATCACAGACAAGAAACTGCTCTGCTAAGAAGCCTTCCCAGGGCGCCCTTCACATCCTTGTTCCTCAAGCTATAGATGAAGGGGTTCAGCATGGGGGTGACCACGGTGTACATCACTGAGGCCACTGAGACTTTCTGGGAAGAGTGAACCATCGAAGAAGTGAAGTAGACCCCAATGCCTGTTGCATAAAATAAAGAAATGACTGAGAGATGAGACCCACAGGTGGCAAATGCTTTTTGCCTTCCCTGCGATGAGGACATCTTCTTTACGGCTGAAGTAATTCTTGAGTAGGAGAATAGGATCCCCAAAAGAGGGAACACACCCAGCACACCAGTCATAAAATATAACAATGTGTTATTTAGGAAGGTATCAGAGCAGGCCAACTTGAGGATCTGTGTCACCTCACAGAAGAAATGTGGAATTTCAAGATCTCTACAGAAATTCAGATGCATCATCAGAGAGATATGGAGGAGGGATGTCATGACACCAATGAACCAAGTAATAAAAACTAGCAAGCCACAGAGACGAGGGTTCATGATGATCATGTAGTGCAGGGGCTGACAGATGGCCACATACCGGTCGTAGGCCATCACGGTCAGGAGTAGGGTGTCCAGGATAGGAAAAAACATGGAAAAATATACCTGAGTGAGGCAGTTCATGTAGGAAATGGCTTTGTTCTCTGTGTGGATGCTCACCAGCATATTGGGGACTATAGTGGTGCTGAAACAGATGTCAACCAAAGACAGATTGGAAAGGAAGAAGTACATGGGGATGTGGAGGTGGGGGTCAAAGCTGATGATTAGGATGATGAGCAAGTTCCCAAGCACTGTAACCACGTACATGAAGAGGAACAGTCCAAAGATGAGGCGCTGCAGTTCTGGATCCTCAGAGAGTCCAAAGAGGGTGAACACTAAAATTCCTGTTTTGTTTCCTGCTTTCATGTGGGTGCTATATCTATGAAGGAAGAGATTGGAACAACATGAATTAGCACAAACTGGCACCCTCCACATACCAGAAATGTTGACTATCTATACCTTTCACACAAGTTATTTATAAAGACTGTCATTTTTCTAAGAGTCGGGTCTCTATTCACTTATAAATAGAATCTTAAAAAATGGAATCTCTTATCCCACCCACTCATCTTAAGTATCCATTTTATAACAACGAAACCAAAAGGGAATCCTACAAAATAGAATTCCTGACCATCTATCTAAGTATCCACTTTATAACAATCCCGTCAGAAGGTCATGAGGCTTCAAAATGAGATAAGTCAACATCATGCACTTCCTGGTATGAGGCACTAGAAAGGACTCAGTGAGACTACTGTGGGATTTGGCCAAAGACACATGACTTCAATTTACAGATTAAAGAGCATCAGACAAAGCCAAATTGAGGGGCATTCAAATTCAAAGAAAGTCTAGGAACTGTTCTGGATTAACGGTGCCTAAAGTGATCTCAAGCAAATACCCTGTTTCTCCGAAAATAAGACCTACTTATAGGTTTCCTTCTGAGTGAAATATAAGGCATCTCCCCGAAAATAAGGCCCCCCTAGGCTCTGTCACTGAATTCTATTGCTAAACATGAGAGATTTGGTCCACTGATTCTGAAAGAAATGGAGTCACAAGAAATACACCAGGAAATTCAGGAATTGGATTGTTATGATGATGTTCCAAAAGATGATGACATGATTGTCATTGAATAAATGAGTAAATTCTTGATACTGTAGGATTCAGTTTGTCTGGTTTGTGTTGACAACTACCATACCATCGTACCATATACAGGTAAAATTTCCTTTATTTTCATTTAACAATAAATGTGTACCGTATTCTTCTTCATGGAAAAATAAGACATCCCCTGAAAATAAGACCTAGCGCATCTTTGGGAGCAAAAATTAATATAAGACACTGTCTTATTTTCAGGGAAACAGGGTATAACGTGTGATCTTGGATTTTCTTTTGCTACAGATGACATTATTAGAATAATTACCCAAATAGGACTGATGTCTGTAACTTTCATAACAGTATTATATCAATGTTAATTTCCTGATTTTGATCATTGTACTGAGGTTGTGTGAGGAAAATGTCCTTGTTTTTTAGGGAATACCGATGATTTAGAGGTGTAACTTATTTTCAAATGGTTTGGAAAACACACCTACACACAAAAGGAATACAGAAAACATGGGGTAAAGATAAAAGTTAAGGTGGTAAAAATGTTAACATTCAGGGGATCCAGCAATAGTTACGTAGGAACTATTCTTTCAACTTTTCTTCAAACCTGAAATAATTTAAAAGTTAAAAACACTTTCATACAATGCCCAATAGTACTGGATAGAAAAAAGGAAAGAAAATCCATCCGTGAGCCGGGACCGGTTTGGCTCAGTGGATAGAGCCTCAATCTGCGGACTGAAAGGTCCCAGGTTCGATTCCGGTCAGGGGCATGTACCTTGGTTGCGGGCACGTCCCCAGTGGGGGGTATGCAAAAGGCAGCTGGTCGGTGTTTCTCTCTCATCGACGTTTCTAACTCTCTGTCCCTCTCGATTCCTCTCTGTGTAAAATCAATAAAATATATTTTTTTAAAAAAAGAAAAAGAAAATCCATCCGTGAAATGTCAGAAAAAGTCAGACCTCAAAAATTACTGTAGCTGAGGCGGCCACTCACAGGTTTAGAGCCCACATTCACCTAGAACCTCAGCCAAGGAATTCAGTCTCAAGTGGTCCTGGATGGCACATACCCAGGCCCCAGGCAGAAGCAAACACAAATATGCGCTGAAAGGAACTTTCATCTGAAAATTTTTGCCTCGGTGTCTATTACTTTTCTTTCTTTTAACACTCTTTCCAGGTTTGCTAGTACATGCAGGTTCCTTCCAACTTCCCAGTCTTAAGCACAACACTAGCTTTTCACTCTTGCAATTCTAACACTTTTGCCTTCTTAGGAATCCTAAACATCCCCAGCCTTGCTTATGTAAGTACTGCCCTCCCAGCTGGGGTGCTCCTCCATGCCTTTGTCTTCCTGTGATAATTCTTATCCTTCTCTTTTATATGGAATATCACTTTCTCAAAGAAGCCTTCCTGAACCTTTCGGGCCCAGCAAGTGCAGTCCCCCTTGTTCATGCTTTTATAGCTTCCTAGAGTCTTCTTTACTAAGTCATTGTTGTGTTTTTGCATTTACTTATGAAATTATTTTATTAATATCTGTCCCTGTGCCCAGATGGCATGGCTCATCTGGGAACAGGGACAGATATTAGCATTGACCTATGAACCAAGAGGTCACAGTTTGATTTCCAATCTGGGTAAATGCCCATGATGAGGTGTGTAGGAGGCAGCCAATCAATGATTCTCTCTCATCATTGATGTTTCTATCTCTATCTCTATCTCTATTTCTTCCTCTCTGAAATCAATAAAAATACATTTTTTTAAAATCTGTGCCTCTCAAGACTGAAACATAAGCTATACATCTCTGCTCACATGTTATAAAATTTACTGATCCTGGTATTCCAGTGGTTTGTTCTCAAAGAGCAGGAAAAGTTGAATGAAGATTGCAACCAAGAGCAATATATAATATAAAGAAGAAATCTACAAGTTAATCTCACATTGGCTATAGATGCAGCAAACTGAAAAAGGAGTAAGATGAAGGTATCTGTTTAATAAATATAACATATTCCCTTGTGATTAATGTTCATTTGAAAGGTTTAAAAATATTTAATATTAGAAAGTCAGATAACAAAGTATTTGCATGAACAGAGCGATGCAGAAATAATTATAGTTTCAATATAAATGTATGTAATAAAATGTAACAGTCATTGATGGGAAGGAAACAGTAAAATTTTAAATATTAATCCAAGATCCATCATTAAACCCTAAAACACAAAAAACTCATAAGAAGCAGAAAGAAGAAATTATGCCTGTTGCTATAATTATTTAACATAGTACTTAATAATTCAAAAGAAACTATAAGTCAAGAAAAGTAAACCAGATATAATAGTTGAAAACCAAAAACAAAATTGGTCATGATCAGCTGCTGATATGATTACCTACTTGGGAACACTAAAGCCAACTTAAACTCAATTAAAACTAATCAGTATCATCAGCTTTCTTTGTTTCTCCAAAGAATTATTAGGAAAAAGGGAACATAGGTCCATTCACAATTGCAATGACAACATAGATAATATCTGACACATAGTCAGCATTCAGTACATATTTTTTAATCAAAAAGTGTATATAAGCCCTGGCCAATGTGGCCCAGTTGGTTGGGCATCATCCCATGCACCAGGAGGTTGCTGGTTCGATTCCCAGTCTCGGGCACATGCCCAGGTTGGGGGCTCCCTCCTTGATGAGGAGCATGCAGGAGGCAGCAGGTTGATGTTACAGCTCTCATAAAGATGTTTCTCTCTCTCCTTCTCCCTTCCTAAAAATCAATAGGCTATTATTATTTTTTAATAGTATATATAACCTCATAAAAACCAAATGATGATGGGGGTGAAGAGGAGGGAGAAGCAGACACTTTGCTGGAACAGAGGTTCTCTAATTACAGAAGGCATCAGAATCACCTGGAGAATATTTAAAACAGATTATTGTGTCTTAGCCCTGGAATTTCTGCTAGCAGGTCTTGGGTGGGCCTGAGACTGCATTTCCAGCAAACTCCCCAGAGTGTGCTGAGGCCAGTGCTTCAGGCACCACACTTGGAGAATTACTGTACTACAAGAAGACAGAAAGCTCTTTGCGGTGGGGGGGCAGAGACAGGAGGCGGTATGTGGAAACTTTTTATACTGGAGAAAGTGCCAATTCCTACTGACACTGAGCAAGTTACTGGTTCCTGAATGAGTTTCCATCAGAGCTGGAGGTAACAGAAACAACACAATCTAAAAAGCCATACATAACCAGGAAAATAAATTCCAAAGATTAAAATTTCCATGGGACATCATCAACCATGCTCTCTCTTTCCCTCACCATTTTTTAGCTAATTTGATTTTAGAGAGAGACATTGATTTGTTGTTCCACAAATTTATGCATTTGTTGGTTGCTTCTTGTATGTACCCTGACCAAAGATCAAGCTTGCAACCCTGGTGTATCAGGGTGCTCTAAGTAGTTGAGCTACCCGGCCAGGGACCCCTCACTATTTTTTTTTCTTTTTTTAAAAAAAATATTTTATTGATTTTTTTATAGAGAGAAAAAGAGAGGGATAGAAAGCTAGAAACATTGATGAGAGAGAAACATCATTCAGCTGTCTCTTATATGTCCCTACTGGGGATGTGCCCACAACTAAGGTTCATGCCCTTGACCGGAATTGAACCTGGGACCTTTCAGTCTGCAGACTGATGCTCTATCCATTGAGCCAAACCGGTTTCGGCTACCACTTTTTTAATATGTTTATTCATACACTGTATTCACTAGGCCAGGGGATTCACTCCACTGGCACTGCTTAAAGAAATATTTGTACAAACTCTTTCTTCTCTGAGAGTTAGATGCTGAAAACAGACTCACCCAGGGAATGGTAGGGAGATAGAACTTGTCTACAAAGTCGTTTCTGTGAGAGGCACAGGTGTCATCTTTCCCCTGGTCAGGCCTCATTGAACTATGGGTGAGGATGCTAGGGAAGTACTTATGGTTTGTCAAGCCCCAGGAGATTGATTTTTCATCATTCCTCATTAAAAAAATTGTTCCTCTGGTGTTGTACCCTTGAAGTCACTCATCTCCCTTGGGGTGCAGAGCAAATGGCAGAACTGAACGCCTGTGTTTATTCTGTATCCAGGAAGGCACCTTTGGAGCCAGACGGACCCATACCACCACTCCCTCCCACCCCAAACACACAAGATGTTTCTCTCTCATCGATGTTTCTAGCTTTCTATCCAAAGAATCATTAGGAAAGAGGGACCATAGGTCCATTCACTATTGCAATGGCAACATAGATAATATCTGACACATAGTCAGCATTCAGTACATATT